ACGACAACGACGACGACGACGACGACGACGACGGCGACGACGACGACGACGACGACGGTGACGGTGACGGTGGCGGCGACGACGACGTCGACGACGACGACGACTACGACGAGGACGAGGAGGAGGAGGAGGAGCAGTAGGAGGAAGAGGAGGAGGAGGAGGAGGAGGATGAGGAGGAGGAGGAGGACGATGACGAGCCACCCCACACACACAGGGTGAGGGAGGGGGGGGGTGCGCCCTCCACCACGCCATGCCCACAGGGCCACGACCACGGGGGGGGGAGCGATCTCATTCGCGAGGCCTTCGCGAGGCCCACGGGCGTACCCATCCAGCGAGGGGGGGGCTCGATTCCATATGCATTCTGAGGGGAGGGGGGCCTGGATCATATGTAATGTATTCGAAACCTGAACCTGCAACCTCTGGCATTGAGTCAAAGCTGCCAGTCCCCGTGGGAGCCCCCGTCCTTTCAACGAGCAGCAGAAAATGTGTCGCACGCCCCCCCCATCCAAGTGCTGCTACACGGCCAGCCTCAATGTGGTTTGACCATTTCTCCACGGTGTTAGCTTTGCTAAGGTCTCTAACCTCAGGGTCCAACAACAAGTCCACAGACAAAACCCGAACCTCGACATTGTGCATTCCAAGTTTGAATTTTGGTTCCACAGAGCACTGAATATCACCCTCACGCCGCTGGCCACACAGCACGCTTACACTGACAAACTGCCCCGCGAGGCAACGTTTGAGGGCTCGTGTTGGCTAACATGCTTGTGCTTTCGTGCGCTCGTCCTGGTCATTTGGCCAATCCAGGACATGTGCCATCGACCAGTCCTGGGGCGGGAGGTTCAGACGCTGGCTGGTCTACCATGCTGCGTGAAGATCCTGTTACATGTTCCAGGGACAGGAAGAAGCCGCGCCTAGACGGCGCATCGGCACAAATTGGATCGAAAACCAAGGCCAGAAACATGTGCAGAAAATTATGCGGAATGCGTGCGCAGGGTCGCATTCACTGTTCATTGACTAGCACTGGGCGGCGGGTACAACTACACTCGCACATCGCACACTGAACATGCGAGAGGACAGGGGGGTTGTGGGGGGGAGGGGAGCGGAGGGAACAGGGAGAAGGCGGGAACACGATCACATACAATAGTCATCACCGGCTTGGTGCCATTGTGCTGGAGAGCCTTGCAGCAGGTCGTGCAAATTGTCGTTGTCGCCCCCTGCTGCCTCTAGGGCCCTGGCGTGCACATATGTAGCCCATTGCAGACGCGCGCGCCCACGAGAGCGTAAACTGTTCCATCTTCTCGACTGGCAGCTCCCACTCTCGAACTGCATTGCTCTCGGCAGGCTTCTCGGCGAATCCCCTGCCAATTCACCATATACCTGCAGTTGTCGTCTCAATAACTGCGATGATAAGCGCGTGGCGTTGGCAACTGTTCTGACTTCGACGTTGCTGACACGGGAGAAATAGTCAGGTTGGATTTTGCATATTCTTCGGAGGCATCTCCCTTGGAAGCTGTCGAGGCGGTCTCTGTCGGCTTGCAGCAGCATGCAATATTCCAATCCATATAGCAGTTTTGAGAATACACAAGCAGCCAACACACGGATTTGTACTGCCTGGTCATGTTGGCGTGGCTCCACACAGCGCTGATCTTGTCGAATGCTCCTTTTGCTTCGCCAAGCCTGCGCGTGAGTTCTGCTCGTGGCTTCCCGTCGACACTCAGCAGCCCGCCCAGATATACAGCCTCTTCTTTGCATCTGATCAGACCCCTTTCCGACCCAGCAACGTTTGCATCCGATCGCACTCCTAATAATATAGTTTTGGATACGGTTAGCTCGAGACCAAAAGGCTGTGCGATTTCCACCAGCGTGTCCAGATGCTGTTGAAGAGCGTCCTGTTTCGCAGCCACCAGCATTGTGTCGTCTGCGTACAGCAGGTCATCCGTGATCGCGTACGGTTTGGACATGTTGTTCGGAATGGCGTTACGTCTTCTGTGCACAGCCTCCATAATAACTGACATAACGATGACAAACAAGTATTGCGACAAGGGGCAGCCCTGAGCTATGCCTGCCGCTTGAGGCCTCGGGGACGTTGTGTCTGCACCATCTTTGACGACAAACTCTCTCGAAGTGTAGATTGCCTGCGCCATATCTACCATGGCTGGCGGCACAAGGAAGTGCAGGAGAGCAAGTATCACCCCCTCTGGCTTCATTATGTCAAAAGCCTTGCTCCAATCAGGTAATAAGAGAAGTAAAATGCCGTCCTTGTCTTCCAACGTTGCGTCAATCAACCGGCGAACCAGAAAAAGCGCGTCTGAGGTGCCTCGTCCTGGGCGGAATCCATATTGAATATTGAGATTCGCGCAGTGCTTCCTCCACGCCCACAACAATACACTAGCCAATACTTTAACGATATAGGCCTATAGTTGCTAGGCAATGATGTGTCTCCTTTTTTTGGATATAGTTACAACTGAAGATCTCCGCCACTCTGTCGGTATATGTTTGGATCGCCAACATGTGTTACACATATCCAAAAGAATACCCAGCGCGTCGTCTGACGACCACAATGCCTGCCAAAGGTCTGGCGGTACGCCATCGCTGCCAGCAGCTTTCTACTTTTTCAATGCCTCTACTGCTCGTCGTAATTCTTCCAAGCTGATGTCCCCCGTGTCAATGCTTAGATGCTCCCCGTTTCGGTTGAATTGAGGGAACTTTTCTGGTCCATCATATAATCTTCATTGCTCTTTTTCCAGATATTCAGCCATTGCTTCCGGTGTTTTCTTTCTCCACAAGTTGCCCGGATCTATTTTGCAATCATCCATGCTGTGGCGGCCGGCCTTTACGTAGGAGCCGGATTGCCCTCCAACCACCATGTTCTACAGCATATTCCAACCATCTCTTCCTGTTCGCGCGTGCTGACAATTGAATTTGTTTGTTGAATGCTTTGACTTCCTCGTTGGATCCCCCATGCTGTCCGCAACTGTTTCTCTGTTCAATGAAATGCAACGTCCGCTGCGTGATCCAAGGCCTGTGTGGGGTAGCGGACGAGAGAGGTATAGATTTTTTCGCCGATTCCAGCATACATGAAGCAATTGTCGCTGCTTTCCCGTCGACGGTGTCGTCCGTAGGCTTTGCTTTCCATTTTCCCACAAAGCCAGAAATATAGCTTTCCGACATTGTCTGATTGATGAACAGATTTCCAATCGTATTATGGTTGTCGTTGAGGAGGCTCCTGTATAGGGATGTTGACGTCCAATTCCACGATGTTCACAAAATGATGCGTTTGCAGAGCTCTGGACCTATCGCTCCACCAGGCCCGCTCGACGATGACATGGTCAAGTTGCTCGAACTTTCCAGGTTGTATCTTGTCCATGGGTCGCGTATTTAAATCGTAGTGCGTTACTGTCGATTCCGTTCCCACATCGAAAGTATCGGCAATGTGATATTCCAAGCTTGTGCATAATTCTGCCAACAATTCTCTGTTTGAGAGAGCGTCCCATTTACCACGGATGTTCTCGAAGACGAATTCTTCCATGATATTTTCTTCTCCGGCGTACCTCTGCAGCCGCCGCGCGTTGAAATCACCAAGTAACATCGTTGGTCCATGTGAGCGGCACTTCTTGGTGAAATTTTCAAGTTCGGAACAGAAGTGGTGCCGTATATCGTATGCGTACTCGGTTGTGCATATGTATGTTGACACCAATATTAATACACCTTCAGTTACTCCTATCCGTAAGCTCGCCATTATGCTTTTATACTGCAAATATTTTTTTTGTTTGAATGTTTTGCCCATGGTGCTACAATGAAGCCCACTCCTGCGTACTCCCTGGTGTCGTTCTCGTTCCCTGACATGATGAAGAGGTGGCCTTCGAATTCGTAGATTGGGGAACCTCGGCTGTGTGTCTCTTGGAGACATACCACTGCGATGTCCAGGTCTCTCATGTGTTTGATAATCTCGTGCAGCTTGTGCGGACGATCCTGGTGAATGCCTTCGACATCTCAGGATACATTTTTGCCGCAAGATATTGGCCAACATGGGAATGTTACTTATTTGCCAAGTGAAGCTGCTCTCTCGTGGCCGATGCGCCGTGCGAGTCCCTATTCTGGACCCTGCTCACCCTTCTTGCCCTTCCCACCTCCCTTGGCAGATCGGCCCAACGCGTCGTTCGCCCGAGTAACAAGGTGATCCACTTCTGGACTTTTCGTGAGCTCGTCCCAGTTCTTCCAGGTCCCCTCCCAATTGATACTGATAGTGTTGTTGACAACGCGTGCAGATACCACCGGATGTTTTGCTACCGTGAGTACCACGTCGTTTGTATCAACGCGAACCCGCTTTTCAGTTTGTTGGTCGGCGCGGGCCCACACAGCGTTACCATTTTGCGTGACCTGAGCTTTACCGAGTACGTTGACGAATTTGTCACACTTGTCAGCGGAGCCAAATTTCACGAAGACTATGCTGTTGACTGCGCCTTTGGTGAAGATGTCGATGTGCTCTGGCACGCGGGTGCGCACGAACTGGCCTTTCAGGAAGTCCATGGCTGTATCCATATCCGCATTGCATTCTCGGTCCCGGCCTGCCGTCAGCTCAGAGAACTGTTTTTCCAGGTTGAATATTTTTTGTTCGATGTGTGACGTAATGCTTGGCGCTGCTCCTGAGGTTGCCGATGGCGACCGGGATCCCGATCGCTCCAGGAAGTCGACGCGCTCTGTGAGTTTGTTCATCTCCGCCTGGACAGGTTCCAGAGCTTGCTGTAACTCATCCCTGGATATCCCATGTAGTTTAATAGCTGCAACGTCCTGCTGTAGAGGCTGCAGGTACTGCTTGAACATGCCCTCGATCGCACTCATGGTGATCTTCCCCGTCGACGCCCCTGTTCCAGCACGTTCTGTAAGTACAGCTTGGCCTGCTCTCGAGCGTACATCGCTTGCATTATCTGAGCGGCTGGGTGTCCTGGTCTCGGAGAGGTCAAGGATCAAGCTGTGGCATGCGACGCAGAACACCCCCGTCGATGGGCTGGCTGGTTTTCTTGACGCTCTTGCTCGGCAAGAGCCTGGATCTTCTCAGGCTCGGGCGTCTGAACATACGTCACGTAACACATCAAGCAAGTAGGTCGCCATGTCAGGACATGCCTTATCAGCATGGGCCGTGACTCGAATGTGCGGTGACTTGCTGCACATCTTCGATCTCGCACGTAGCGTCGGGCAATTCTCGACAATGTGGTGTGCACAGCCCTGACCACGGAGGCCACGCTCGGAGTATTAACACTGAAACATGGCATGTTCAAATCTGCTGCTGTGGAGGCTGGGCAATATCTCTCGCTGGGGGGAGGCCTACACTAGTGAGAAGGACCAGTACTTGTTTGTCACATCTGGCAGACTCGAAGCCTGGCCTAGGCTTTTCCACGACCGCCTTAGATGCCTCCTGAACAGTCCTCTACCAAGCTTGCTGTGATGTTTTGGCCTTCGCAACCCATGCCCCTGTGCCGCGGGGGAGGAAGAGGCATGCTTGATGACTCGTAGTGGCCAGACTGCAGCCATGGCAAGTCGTTTAGCACTTGATGTAGCCAGGAATTATGTTTGGATTTGCCGCCAGCCTGACTATACTCAGCGTGCAGAGACTCTAGTATGAGGCTCTTGGACAGCAGCAAGGAATTGTCCAGCTGTCCAACCAATCTTAGCCGTACCGCCTTCAACACCACAGGAACTCCAGGGCGCAGTGCAGCTTCCATAACGTGCTCCTCTGTAGCCCCCCCCGCTTCAAAATGCGGCAGGCGAAGCACTTTGCGTTACCGTCTGGCATAGTGCGATCTAGCCCGTACAGTATCACTGCCATGCATGTTGTACCACGTGCCAGTCCCCATGTAGGACTGAATTCAAAACCAAGAAATCCGTGAATATTTGCTTAGGGGTATTGGGAATCTTCGTGGTCAGCTTGACGGCTCTGTTGGGAGAGGGTGAGGATGAGGAATAGAAGGATCCGTGAGGGAGGATTTCTATGGAGTGATGGTGATACTGATGGTGGTGGCAATGTTGATGATTATGACGATGATGCGGCTGCTGCCGATGATGACGACGATATTGGTGGTGATTATGATGATGGTGCTGTTGCTAATGATGATGGTGGTGTTATAGATCATTCATATGAATACTATGACCACGATGCTTCTGATGATAGCATGACTGAGTATGCTGATGGCGGTTCACATGATATTGGCGGTGACAATGCTGTTGCTGACGAGCTGATTATGGTGATGCTGTTGCTGCTGATTCTGATGATGATGAATGCCATGCTGACGATGATGCTGATGATGATGCTGACGATGATGACGATGATGATACTGATGCGGACGATGATGATGCTCATGATGACGATAGTGATGCTGCTGATCATGGCAATTATGATGCTGATTCGGATGATCTTGATGATGCTGCTGCTGATGATCATATTGGGTGGTCTGCCATATTAGTACTATTGTCATTCTGATCATTGTCATGATTAGCTGTAGTATGGTGATACTGCGTATTACTATTCTTTTTCTTGTGCCTACTATTATCATCATTTCTATTATCATCATCATACGTATTATTTCCGCGTTATCATAATCGTTATCATTAGCACTATTGCTAGCATAAGATTTATCATTATTATCATTAGTATGATTACCATTCTCATTCTAATTATTCGTATAGTTCTAAATGTTACTGCTCTTATTCTTAACCAGAGTATTCGTACGATTGTTATTGTTGGTATTGTTATTGTTACTGCTGTTATTCCAAATCATCCTGTGGTGTTGGGTCCTTGTTTTGAAGAGGCAGCGCCCCGCGTCCCACCTTCCTCCTTCCTCGTCCCCCTCCCTCCTCCTCTCAGCATCATCATCGTCACCATCACCATCACCATCACCATCACCATCACCATCACCATCACCATCACCATCACCATCACCATCACCATCACCATCACCATCACCATCACATCACCATCACCACCATCACCATCACCATCACCATCACCATCACCATCACCATCACCATCACCATCACCATCATCACCATCACCATCTTGGCGTGGCCCCATAGGTAGCTCCACCAAGGCCCCACTGGGGGTGTTCGCATGCGGTTCCTTCACCAGGGCAGCGTTTCGTGGCCCTTAGGGAGCTCACAGAAGCCCGCTGGGGGTGTTGCATGCGGTTCCTTCACCCAGGGCCAGCCGTTTCGTGGCCCCATAGGGAGCTCACGAGGGCCCCACTGGGGGTGTTCGCATGCGGTTCCTTCACCCAGGGCAGCGCTTCGTGGCCCCATAGGGAGCTCCACCGAAGGCCCCACTGGGGGTGTTCGCATGCGGTTCCTTCACCCAGGGCAGCGCTTCGTGGCCTCATAGGGAGCTCCACCGAAGGCCCCACTGGGGGTGTTCGCATGCGGTTCCTTCACCCAGGGCAGCGATTCGTGGCCCCATAGGGAGCTCCACCGAAGGCCCCACTGGGGGTGTTCGCATGCGGTTCCTTCACCCAGGGCAGCGTTTCGTGGCCCCATAGGGAGCTCCACCCCCACTGGGGGTGTTCGCATGCGGTTCGGCAGCGTTTCAGTGGCCCCTCCAGGATGGGGGGTGTTTCGCATGCAGGTTTCGTGGCCCCATCTCCACGAAGGCCCCACTGGGGGTGTTCGCATGCGTCCTTTCGCGGGCCCCATAGGGAGCTCCACCGAAGGCCCCACGTGGGGGTGTTGTTGGGGGTGTTCGCATGCGGTTCCCCCACCCAGGGCAGCGTTTCGTGGCCCCATAGGGAGCTCCACCGAAGGCCCCAGTGGGGGTGTTCGCATGCGGTTCCCCCACCCAGGGCAGCGTTTCGTGCCCCATAGGGAGCTCCACCGAAGGCCCAGTGGGGGTGTTCGCATGCGGTTCCCCCACCCAGGGCAGCGTTTCGTGGCCCCATAGGGAGCTCCACCGAAGGCCCCAGTGGGGGTGTTCGCATGCGGTTCCTTCACCCAGGGCAGCGCTTCGTGGCCCCATAGGGAGCTCCACCGAAGGCCCCACTGGGGGTGTTCGCATGCGGTTCCTTCACCCAGGGCAGCGTTTCGTGGCCCCACAGGGAGCTCCACCGAAGGCCCCAGGGGGGTGTTCGCATGCGGTTCCTTCACCCAGGGCAGCGTTTCGTGGTCCCATAGGGAGCTCCACCGAAGGCCCCAGTGGGGGTGTTCGCATGCGGTTCCTTCACCCAGGGCAGCGTTTCGTGGCCCCATAGGGAGCTCCACCGAAGGCCCCACTGGGGGTGTTCGCATGCGGTTCCTTCACCCAGGGCAGCGTTTCGTGGCCCCATAGGGAGCTCCACCGAAGGCCCCAGTGGGGGTGTTCGCATGCGGTTCCCCCACCCAGGGCAGCGTTTCGTGGCCCCATAGGGAGCTCCACCGAAGGCCCCAGTGGGGGTGTTCGCATGCGGTTCCCCCACCCAGGGCAGCGTTTCGTGGCCCCATAGGGAGCTCCACCGAAGGCCCCAGTGGGGGTGTTCGCATGCGGTTCCCCCACCCAGGGCAGCGTTTCGTGGCCCCATAGGGAGCTCCACCGAAGGCCCCACTGGGGGTGTTCGCATGCGGTTCCTTCACCCAGGGCAGCGCTTCGTGGCCCCATGGGGAGCTCCACCGAAGGCCCAAGTGGGGGTGGGCGCATGCGGTTCCCCCACCCAGGGCCCAGGGCAGCGTTTCGTGGCCCCATAGGGAGCTCCACCGAAGGCCCCACTGGGGATGTTCGCATGCGGCTCCTTCACCCAGGGCAGCGTTTCGTGGCTCCATAGGGAGCTCCACCGAAGGCCCCACTGGGGGTGTTCGCATGCGGTTCCTTCACCCAGGGCATTTCGTGGCCCCATAGGGAGCTCCACCGAAGGCCCAAGTGGGGGTGGGCGCATGCGGTTCCCCCACCCAGGGCAGCGCTTCGTGGCCCCATGGGGAGCTCCACCGAAGGCCCCAGTGGGGTGGGCGCACGCGGTTCCCCCACCCAGGGCAGCGTTTCGTGGCCCCACAGGGAGCTCCACCGAAGGCCCCAGTGGGTGTGGGCGCATGCGGTTCCCCCACCCAGGGCAGCGTTTCTTGGCCCCATAGGGAGCTCCACCGAAGGCCCCAGTGGGGGTGTCGCATGCGGTTCCCCCACCCAGGGCAGCGTTTCGTGGCCCCATAGGGAGCTCCACCGAAGGCCCCAGTGGGGGTGGGCGCATGCGGTTCCCTCACCAAGGGTAGCGTTTCGTGGCCCCATAGGGAGCTCCACCGAAGGCCCCAGTGGGGGTGGGCGCATGCGGTTCCCCCACCCAGGGCCCAGGGCAGCGTTTCGTGGCCCCATATGGAGCTCCACCGAAGGCCCCAGTGGGGGTGGAACCGCATGCGGTTCCCCCACCCAGGGCAGCGTTTCGTGGCCCAATCGGGAGCTCTACCGAAGGCCCCAATGGGGGTGTTCGCATGCGTCTCCCCTGCCCAGGACAGCGCTTCGTGGCCCCATAAGGAGATCCAGCGAAGGTCCCAATGGCGCAGTTCGCATGCGTCTCCCTCGCCCAGGGCAGCGCTTCGTGGCCCCATCGGGAGCTACACCGCACCCCTCACAAGTTTCGTGGCCCCATAGGAGCTCCACCGAAACCGGTACCCACAATGCGGTATTCGCAACTGCACCTGGTTGGGTCCTTCGTCAGGCTAATTGATTTTGTTTTTGTAATTGTTGCGGTTTGGGTGATGAGGATGAAGAGGAGGAGGAGCAGGAGGAGGAAGAGGAGGAGGGTGATGATGAAGACGTGAGTGATTGATTAGTAGGACGAACGGGAGGAAAGGGGAGGAGGAGGAGGAGGAGGAGGAGGAGGAGGAGGAGGAGGAGGAGGAGGAGGCGCAGGAAGAGAAGGAGTACCAGGGGTGGCGGAGGACGGATGATGAATGGACGAGGGGGGAGGGTGGA